CAAGGGCCCCCAGCAGTGTTTTCTGTGCTTGTTGGGGACTGTTATCCATGTGTTTGCAGTAGCATCTGTTCCAATATTTTTTTTGGAGAAATAAAAAGAATCTCTGGAGAGAGTAGCCTGCTTCTTTTCTTGACCGGGGCCTGTTGCAAAATGGAGCTTTTGCCCCCTTGATGGTGCTCCAGTGGACCAGGTTCATCTCTGCTAACCCACAAGACGGTTTGCCTGTTGGTGGCCTATAGCGCTGGAGGAACTCGGCTGTTGCAATTTGTATTCCAGGGCCTGTGATTTAGCATGACGTGCCAACTCACCCATGTGCATGAGGGGGTCCAGCGAGTGAAAACTCCCCCAGTCCCCTGCTCTGTGCTTTTAGACCCTCAAGTCGAGACCCCGATCACAACGGGCATCCTCAGGTCTTTTAAAGAAAGGGTGTAGCTCAGCGATCAGAGCGCTAGCTTTAGATGTGCAAGATTTCAAGTTTGAACCTTGAACCTTTAGATATGGTAGAGAAAGAGGATTATCTGAAGCTCCTAAAAGACCCACCATGTTTCCATTTAAGGGAATGTCTCCCTTGAGTTGAGTTCAACTCCTGGGGAGATCTGGATCCGTGCTTGTGGTGGTCTAGGCAGCCGTCCAGAAGTGGCTTTCCTTCTGGCATTTTGACGTGCCAGTCTAGCTCTGGTGGTCTCCCATCCAATGTTAACTGGGTCCAGCCATGCTTGGCTTCTGAGTTGCTGCCACCTGCTGGGACGTTTCCGTTTTAAACCAGACTTTCTGAACAACAGGGACTAGAATCCGATTTTCTTGCTTCAATTAAGGATTCATGAGTGTGGGATCCCTCAACTAAAAGATCCCTGGGAAACTGCTACTATCTAGCACAGACCATACTAAATTAGATGGACAACTGGTTTGATGATACAAAGAACTTAATTTCCCAGTTCCTGGGGCCTAACAGTCAACCAGCGTGCCCCATGAGCTCCATTCCTTTCCGCCCCTCTTACTTCATTCTCATCAGTGAGTTGCTTCAGCAATTCAAGTGGCTAATCAATTGATTCAATTTATTTTTTTTCCTCACAACTCTCTCCTTTTTTCTGGACCATGAGGAATAGAATAGAAAAAGTTAAATACTCCCTTGTGGTGAGCGTGACTCCTGGTGACTATACGGGCACATCTGTGAGATTCTCTGGGCAACAACCTGGAAGGTGACCTCCCAGAATGTTTCTTCCAACTTCCCAATCTGGCCCACCACCCTGGGATCTCCTGGTGGTCTCCCATCCAACCACTAACCAGCCTGATCCTGCTTAGTTTATTTTCCTTTGAAAAGCTTTACTTGTTGAATTGTTGCATAAAAGTGTAATAGTGCTGTACAGAAGTGTGGTGGTGCTACTTCCCAGCCCTTGTTGAGCCCAACAACTTTTACGCTATCCCAACCAAAACCATTAGAAGATCAGGAAAGGGAAGCCAGGGTTCAAATTCCCATTCAGCCAAAAGACTTCCAGAGTGATTTCTTCTGCCTTACCTACCTCACAGGGTTGTTGTGAGGATAAGTGGGATGCCTGGAAAGATGAGTAATAAATAATTATTCAACGAATGCATATTGATAAGCCTCCTTTCGTCCAGGAGCACAGCACCCATGGCCTTTTCTTCCCCCCTTTCTTTGTGGATCGTTCCGGTCAGCGCTTCTTCCTCCATCCCTTTTGAAAGTTCATCATGGAACCGTCCAGTTCCTCCTCTTCCTCCCTCCCCCTTGAGCAGTGTGGCCTCCCCCCGCATTCTCCGCATGGAACAGTCTGACCTCCCCCCGCATTCTCCGCATGGAACAGTCTGGCCTCCCCCCGCATCCTCCCCCGCTTTCGTCTTTCTCCCCTTCGCCCTTCCCCTTCTCCCAACTCAAGCACTGAATGACCTATCGTCTGCCCCGCCCCGTCTCGCCCGCCCCCGGATGTGTTACCTCCTTTTCCGCCTGTCTCCCGGCAAGCGTTAAGATTCCGTGCCTAATACGATTGGCCGAAGGGTTGACGTACACGCAGGAGGGAGCGGGGTCACCTCCCATCGCCTCACAGGACGAGAGCCAATCACTTCGGGACTTTTTTAAAGGCGGGAGCCGATTGGGTTCTCGTCTTCCAGCGACTTTCTGTCTTGTCCATTCATCCTGCCCGGCGTCTCTTGACGGGACCAATCAGGACCCAGCGGAGGGGACGGAGGCGGGCCAAACTGCTTGGAGGAGGACGTGAAGTTTAGTTGCCGCTGCCGCCGCCATTTTGTGCTGAGGGCTATCGCTGAGGTTCGTGAGGGGCCGGGCCGGACGGGCGGAGGAAGCGGGTGGCGGGGGAGATGCGCGGCTGTGGGACTGAGCTTGCGGACGCCTGCACGCAAAACTCAGGCCTTGGTCTTGTGCCTTGACTAACAATAATCCTTACTTCCTGACACGTACTGAGGGCATATACATAGAATATAAACACGCCCACAGCCGTACACTATGCACGCACATACACAATCATGGCTTCTGTGTGCAAAGTTATACTGGTATATAATTAATGTATATACTCGCCCACTCACAGAAACTGCCTATACACAGAAAGAAGCCTTTGTCATACGCCTTTCGGCAATAATCGTCTTTAGTTACAGGGTATTATAAAATATATGCGCGTGTACATATATTTGCGAGTGTGTGTGTGTAATCTCACAATAACACATTTTGGGGGGCCTGTTTCAGTAATTGTGTGAAATTAATATTAGTATATGTGTGTGTGTTTATATACTTACGTGCAACTCTGTTTATTTAGATGGTGCACACCTAAAACACACAAACTGGCAGGTCTTGGGCCTGTGCCTTTCAGTAATGACAATATGGTTGTTGCATATTATTGATATTGATAACACATGAAATAAAAACAAAAGTACTTAGAGGCCATAGTCATGTTCCTTGAAATAATAATGTTGCATTGACCGATCATTTATATGTTTTTGTTTTTATTATGTCTAGCAACTATGAACTTTGTTTTCAGCACATAGAGAAGGTACAGTGCTGACTTGAAGAAGCAGACTGAAAAGTCTTTTAAGCCAGTGTGGTGAAACACTAGAATTATTACTGGATTTTTCATTTAGGAAATCTGGTTTCTGCTCCTCTGTAACCCTTTAATACTGTTCCCATATAGATGTAATCACAAAACCATTCTTGTCCCTTGCTGGGGAGATTTTCTTGGACCTCTGCTGCATGTCCATAAGATCCTTCCTGTGATTTAGGACTCTGATTACATAACGTGCTAAATCAAGGGGAGCCTTTCTGCATATAGTAGATTTTCCCTGCTATTGTTTTTTCCCACTGAGAGGTGCTAGTAAGAGAGGAAGCTAGCAGTGGTGGCAGCTTCCTCCACACAATTAGGACCACTTAAAGTTAATGCTTGAAGAGGCTGATGAAATTCCCTAAGCAAACTTAAGGGAGGTTGTCTTTGATCAATACAGTCCTGGGCTTTTTTGTTGCTGCTGAATTGTCTCATGCTGTTTGTGCTTTTAGTTGTTAAGGGCAGACTAATGCATCCTTCTTTACTCCCCTGCTCAGCTCTAGCCACCATGGTGAAACTTTTTATTGGTAACCTCCCCCGGGAAGCCACGGAGCAGGAGATCCGCTCTCTTTTCGAGCAGTACGGGCGAGTCCTGGAGTGTGACATCATCAAGAACTATGGCTTTGTGCACATTGAGGACAAGACAGCGGCTGAAGATGCCATCCGCAACCTGCACCACTACAAGCTGCATGGTGTCTGCATCAATGTAGAAGCCAGTAAAAACAAGAGCAAGGCTTCCACTAAGCTACATGTGGGCAACATCAGCCCCACGTGCACAAACCTGGAGCTGCGGTCCAAGTTTGAGGAGTATGGCCCTGTGCTTGAGTGTGATATCGTGAAAGATTATGCCTTTGTGCACATGGAGCGAGCTGAGGATGCCGTTGAGGCCATCAGAGGCCTTGACAACACAGAATTCCAAGGTGGGAAGTGGGGTAAGGGTGGGAGTGGAAGCCGGAAGTCAAAGTTTCCCCCGTACTGCCTTTCCTCCCCATAGGAGGTAATTTCCAGAGAATCATATTTAGCCATCTGGGGGCCACAGCTGGTAATGTTGTCCACTGGTTTAGTTCTGTACTTGATTAGTCTGATTTCTGATGCCAAGTATTTGGTTTCAAGATAGATTGAATTTAAATGCATTTTGTATTTCAGCAAAGATGTTTTTCAGTGACCTACTGCTTATTAGAAAGGAGATTCATCTAAATTAGGATTCATCCAAATTAGGATTGCTGTTTATGAAAAACAAGACCAAAAATGATTTCACATAAAAGTTTTGAGGCCCATGAGATTAATAATAGTAGTTCTCTTTACTAAAATTATCATCCTTTCTGTTCATTGAATGCTCAAAGGAACACCATTAAAATAAGGCAATTAAAACCACAGTAAATTATGCAAATGCTGTAAGAATATCGCTGAACGCAGCAAGTATATTATATTTAATAGAAGAAGACTATTAAAATTCAAAGGCATTAGTTTCTAGCTTAGTTTGCAAATTATCCACCCTGCTCCCCCACTTCATTAGGTTTCCAATGCATCACGTTTAGGGCAGAAAGGAGAAAGGGCGTCCTCTTGCTTGTTTTTATTAATATTAGAAAAATACATTGTAGGAGTTGTCACTTTGTATTTAGACCTTCAGTTGATTAACTGATAACAGTATGCAATGTGGTCGATCAGAGTTGGTCTGATTGGTGGTTGGCTTCATATGATGCTTGGCCTTGGTTTGTTTAAGCAGAGTTTATTGAGCAAACTGTAGTTGGCTGGACTTGTACAGAATGCCAAGTCATCTTAATCAATCCACAAAGACTGGGTTCACATAACACGCTAAGCCAAGCCGGACAGACCACATACTGGCTTAGAATCGTGGGAAACTGGCTGGTGAGATATTGAACTATACCAATCAGTCTTTTGGGGCCTATCTGACAGAGGAGTGAATCTTGATCCTAGTCTTCTCATTTCCTTCCTGCTCCATTTCCTGCCTGTTCATTAATAAATACATGAAAAGGCTTCCATGCCTCTTTTTTTCACAAGCCCTTCATATTCCTCTCTGGTGTTCCCTCTAGTCAACGTTACTGAGCCTTCTCCATCCCAGTCCCTCAGCCAGCCTTCTTTTGGGCCCCTGTATTTCTCTCCTGTTGCTTCCTGATTTACCATCCTCCTTGCTGTGATTTGATTCCTTCTTCCCCTCTTCTTGCTGCCAATAGCAAACCTGTTTCCTAATGTCCTGCATTAGATTTTCAACTCAGCTTTTTTATTTCTGTCTCAGAAGTTGCGGAATTGTAACAACTTTCTTCCAAGGTTGTTACAACTAATGTTGAGCACCCTAGCAGATTTGTGGTCAACTGTTAAAAATCTACAACACAGAGGTTGGTGCAAATGCATTAAAATAAAATTTTGGCTGTATTTTAGGAGAAATCCCAAATATTTCCTCTGTTTAACTGAGGTGGCATCTGCAGGTGACATATACTGGCAGTTTGTTCATGTTTCCTACTAATTAGCAGAACTATAATTATTCATAATATAATTATAAGAAATTTTTCTATAACATAAGAAATTTTTACTATTTCTTTTATCTTTCACTTACCTGGAAGACTCTTGAGTATAGTGTGATGATATCAGAAGAGAGGTTGGTCACAACCTAGCAATGGACTTGAGGCTGGTTCATGGACATTATTTTGAGAAAGTTTGTTTATTCAATTTATATGGCCACCCCACTTGCAGATGCAACTCTGGGCAGCTAACATCAGGCTAAAATTGACAATCAAAAAGCCCCAAAGCAACAAGAATAAAAACAGCATGCCTTTAGATAGAAAGCTGTATTTGTGGTGGGAAAAGGCCTGGATAGCAAAGTGTTGGGGTGATAGTGTGCATTGAAATACAACGTTATACTGTGGATTAAGGAGTTGAACAATTAAGGGAAATGTTTCCTTGGTCCAGTTTTGTAGCTAGTGCATTGGTGGTATGTGTCTTTCTGCTAATGGTATTTTATTAAGTCTCAGTGATGTGTGCCAAACCAGTAATAAATATACTGAATTTCAGAAATGTAAAGCAACGGTAGTAGCTTAAAAAAAATCTCTTAGTGATTCAGGGAAGAGCCTGATTCCCTAGATGTCTGAAATAGAGAGATGGAGAAAGTGATATAAGTGGCATTTGAATTTTTTCTCCCTTTTCTCAGTCTCTGATTACAGTGGATGAATTTTGATGCAGCAGTTTGAAGTGCAGGGGCTGTCTGCCTCTAAAGTGGATTGCCTGCACTGTGTGCAGGTAGGAGTTGACACAGGTGGAGGATTACTTACAAAATGAAATCAGGAGGGCTGAAGCTGGAAACCTAATAAACTATTTCTAGAGTGCCAAATTGGGATGTTTGATGAATTGCTTAAACAGTGCCAGCATCTCTACTGAGTGATATCATGTGCTGGTTAGCAACTTGACCCAATGGGACAGAAACAGGCAACGGCAGTGCAAAGAATTTACAAAGCTGAGTTGCATGTGGTCTCCTGGGGGCTTCCTCTGTTTTCTAATGTCAGAATTCTCTGTAAGTTATGGTACAGAAACCAACACCACTTATGTGCCATGTTTGGAAATCTTAGAAGGACCAAAAGGCTTGGGAGTGTTCTGCGTTGGACTAACTGTTCAGAATCCATGTCTGATTTGAGCTTAGTTCTGGCTAGACTTAGGAAGAAGGGTGTTTTTTTCTTACAAATTGTCTTACTGGCACACGGTGGTCCAGGCACTCCTGTTGTTCCTAGCTCTTGGACTAGACTTTTCTTTAGGTACAAAATCACACTGTCAGGAATAAAGTACAGGCCACTGACAGAGACCTGAACTGATTGTTTATGCTCCATACCTCAGGAGCACTAAGCCTGCAAGAACCCTTCCGCAGAATAAATGAAACGTGTCTGAATCATTCCACATCAGCTCTTGCCTGCAAGGAACAGGGTCAGGCAGTGCCATGCCCGCAGAAGAGTAAAACTGGAGAAGGAAGGAAGAACAGATCATGCTATGTTAGTGGGAAATAGATCTGAAGATGTTCAGAACATTTAGCTTAAGTATAAGAATCATTACTTTAAAGCTCAGTAACAGCAACTCTGATTGTCCTGGAGTTACTAGAAAACTGGAAGCTGTATGTCACCATTGGCGGCTCTGAAGTAAATAAGCTTTCACGTTCTGGTAATAAGATTCTCGGGGTTTGACCTATAATTTGTTATCTGCCTTGCAGGCCTGTCAAAACATTTCTGTTTCTTAGTGGCCGGCATCAAACGGGGGAGACGAATTAAACACTTTGTATTCCTAAACAGGATAGAATAACTCTCTTGCTGCCAAATGCTTCGTTTCCTGAGTATAACTTACTGGTCACTCCAGACCAGAAGAGGCACCATGTCCGTGAACAGCTGCTGGCTTGCCTCTTGACCCATTAGTTGTAGCGGGTTATTCCCTGGTTGGTTGTTTTTGTAAAAATTCTGAGCTGCTGTGCTTTTGCTTTGAATTGTCTTAACAAATCTTTATAGCTGCCCTTCTTGCGTCTGTTTCTTCAAGGCAAACGAATGCGCGTGCAGTTGTCCACCAGCCGGCTCAGGACCGCGCCCGGGATGGGAGACAAGAGTGGCTGCTACCGGTGTGGGAAGGAGGGTCACTGGTCTAAAGAGTGCCCAGTAGATCGCACGGGGCAAGTGCCTGAGTTGACCGAAACTTATAGCGAGCAATATGGAATGGTGCGCACCCCCTACCCTACGGGCTATGGGGATCCCATGTATTACGATGACCCCTATGGAATGGTGGACTACTATAAACGGTACCGCGCGAGAAACGCTGCGGCATATGGGGCTTCTGCATACGACACTTATGCGGAGCACACCATGGCCCAGTATTCCCAGTACGCCCAGTACTCACAAGCCACAGCCATGGCCAGTCGCCTCTCTACCACCTTAGACCCCTACGAGAGGCCCTTGCTGCCAACCTCGGGAACTGCAGCCGCGGTAGCTGTCGCTGCTGTGGCCGCGACGTCCTCATTTTACACCCGGGATAGAAGCCCTCTGCGTCGCTCGGCAGCTGCGGCTTCCACCGCTGGAGACGTGTACGGATACGAGCGCGTTCAGCTGTCTCCCGTCCCGCGATCCTCCCTCTACGATGTCCAGCGTTTCGGGCGGGATGCAGGCGCGGACAGGTTGCGATACTCCGCGTATTGAGTCTCGAGGTGAGAGCGTTTTTTTCATGAGTAGCTTGGAGGAGGAGGGGGATGGCGCATCGATGTTGCTGCTGGTGAGACTTGGGAAACGGGTCTGCGGCTGGGTGTGTCTCAGGAAGATACCTTCTGGCATCTGCTGGGCTCTGCAGCTCTTAACCATTAGCAGCCGTAACTTGTGGAACAGACTAGGCTGCTTGGTGTGGGAGAGGAAATCGAGACCATTGTCCTCAGAAAAGAGAGAGGCCACTATAGGCACATGCAAAACTCACCAATTAGGAACGGAACATTCTGGAGAATGCCAAACGTGCCATCTGCAATAATTTCCAGAAGTAAATCTTCCAAACTGAAAGTGGTTCAGAGTGTCCCAGAGATAATTTTGCCCCCAAACTCTCCTGGTTAATCCAATATGCCACGTCCAGGACACCTCAAACTGCTTCTGGTACAAAGGATTTACTTCTAGAAGCCACCAACCCACCACCCAAAATGCATGGCTGTTTCAGAGTTCTCCAGAATGTTTGTTCCCAAATCAGTGAGTTTTGTTCCTCCCTACTTGTATGTTTTGGTACAGGGTCAGACTCACGGTTGTCTTCCCTGGGAGGAGTGGACTCCACTCTTATTCCTGAAATCCTGGCTAGGCTTGTCCATTGTTTTTTCCTCCCTCACTACTCTTCTGTTTTCTCTTCTGTTCCTATTGCCCTACATACTTGCATTCTGCTCCCAGGACTGTCAGTGCCTTGTTCCTTCCTCCTTGCATGTATCCCAGTATGCAACATAAAACCTAAAATTAGGGTGCACGGGCCACACCTTGATTGACAGAAGATGGCACAGCTTTTGACCAAAGCTGCTTGGAAACTGGAGAGCAAGTTGTTGAATTACAGAAGACCCCCCAGTGTATAATCTCTGAGCCTACTCCATGTCTGCAGGAGGTTCTATTCTGACTCTCTTTCTTGGTGTCTGTGTGTTGGCTGGGCCCTTCAGAAAATGCCTCCAAATTTTTCAGAGATCATATTCAGCCAGAGATGCAAATTTGGCAACTTGTTCCCTAAAAGTGGCTTACCTGAACAAAATCTAAATCCAGCTGGACCGGCTTTTGCTTCCATCAGTGGCTGAACCAGGTGCTTTACAAGCAGAAGCGAAGTTCATATCCAGTAGTATCTGAATTAATTTGTGTAGGCCTTCATTTAGCCACTGTGGCTAATAGCTGCTAGTAACAGCCCCCCTCTGCAAATATGTCTTAACTCTTAAAAGTCCATAGATGCTCATGGCCACCAGCACATCTTCTAGTGGATTAATTCCTTTAGAATTGATATAAAAGATTGCTTTGTTTTTGTCCATCCTTAAGTCATTGTGATTTATTTCCACTGGGTGACCCCAAAATCTAATTCTAGTGAAAGATATATTCTTTTCTTTTTCCAAATGGTTCATAATTTCATAAATAGCATAATATACTGTTCACTTCTTTCTATTTTTAAAAACTAGAAAAACATTCTAGTGTATCCTGACTCCTTGAAATCCTTTTCTGTACTTTCTTCCAGTTGCTTGGTGGCCTTTTACATATGAGGCAACCAGAGCAATTTTCAAGATTCTACATACGACCAAGCAACAGACGTATACTATGATATGTTTATTTGCAGCCCTTTCCTACAGTCCCAAAGAGTGAATTCCTGTCCCTGCAATATCAGACTACAATACTTTCACTGGGGTTTCTGTCACTGTCCCCAAATGTCCCTCTCCCTTAGGAGTAAAGACCCACCAGCATATTGGCATTCATCCGAAAGTTCAGTTTTGTGCACTGAGGTTGGGGAAGATGGGTAGCCAGTGTTGAAGGTCCCTCTGGTCACCTTTTGCTTGTAAATAAGAGTAATGGCTCCTCTGATAGTCAGGTTTTTGTGGTTCTTGTGCATTTTTGGTGAAAAATAGGTTAACCAGAATTAATCCAGCCTGAACAGCCCTGACAGGGTCCGTCGCTCACAAGTAAGTAGGAGGATCTACGTTTTTCATGTAGAAGAACCCTAAGTTCAGTTCCCAGTGTTTCCGGTTAAGAGGATCAGGGAGACGATGATAGGAAAGATATTCTTCTAACACAACCATTGGAAAACTGCTGCCAGTGTGGATAATAGATGGTAGCCATCTGACCAGATGGAGCTCAACCTTAGATCTGTTCCAAGGGTCAACTTGTGACGATGACCAACCTTTCAGAAGACCTAGAAGCACCTAATACAGAAAGAACACTAGCACTTTGGGGGTTGCCAGTAAATGGAGAGGCGCTAGTCTCTAATGTTTGTTTTTAAAGGAATGTTTTATTTTAAGCTTGACAATAACATCTTCCTGCCCTGCCCCTCATCCTTAAGACACTAAACTAAGATGGTCTGTAGCCCAACAAGGAGAATGTTCTTCCAGAACTGTTTCCAAAAGAGCAGTTAATATTCTGACAATCTTTTTTTCCCCCCTCTGATCAACTACACTCCCCGCTCTTCCCGCCTGAGTTGATGCTCTAGGAATGTGGGTGGGCTTGGCCATGGAAGTGCAGGTCTTTCTAGGCAGCCCCCAGCACTGAGCCTGCAAATGAATTGTGTCTTTTATTTTTCAGGTAGGCTATTTGAGGGCTGGACATCGGGCTCCTGTGGCGCGTTCACGTCAAAACTATGCCAGGCTTCACGATGTGTCGATTTGTGTTTAGCATGGTCTCACTAATGGACATTCTGTGTCTCTGCGAAGCTTAGTGACAGCTAACGTTCCCTCTTCTTTTCTTTTCTTTTTTTTAATTCCCCAAGCATTGTTGGAGAGAAGGGAGGGCAGGGCCCTAGGAATTGGGAGAGAGGGTTGCTGGTAACAGGTCTTGCACCCTTTGCTTTGTTGATCTCTGTCTAAGCCAGGACTTCGAGCATAGACAGAGTGACACCAGGGGAAACAAGAGACAAATACTCGGCCTTCCAAGCCGAGCTTTGGGCCATTGCTTTTCATCCCAGTTCGACTTGTGACTTTCCGTTCCCCTGTGTAGGCTTAATTTTGGAACTGAATTATCTAGTTGATCCAGTTCTCCTTTTTTATTTTTTATTATGAGAAGACATTGTCATATTTGGTAGCTTCCTGAGTTTTGACTCTTCCTGTAGAAATCTTTCATTTTGCTATTGATATTAACCTGTGACTTTTTGTTCTTTTGAAGTTGACCTTTCTCTCTTTCCTTTTTTTTTTCCTTCTCCAATATAATAAAACATTTGTAACAGATCCTCGGAAGTGTCTGTTTTATGCATCTTGGTTGAAAGGACAACCGTGCCTGTTATGAACACTCTTGTGATTTTGCATCCAAGTAGAACGAAAGGCACTGCATGAGTGCTCAGCTCAGCTGCCTGCAAAACGCAGTCCTGTTCAAGGGCAAAAAGCTAGAAGTTTCTTTTCCTGGAAAAGGGGTCAAGATTAATTTCCATTCAGAATTAGGCTTTTTCATTTTGTTTAGGCAGGAAGGGGTATAAAGATCTTATTTCATATTTCAACTTGCACAACCTAGGAAGATTTGGCCTCTTGGTGCTCATTGTGTCCCTCAGTTTCTTGACACATGAAGATTTCTCCAGAATGTGCACTAACGTTATCTAGCTTGTGGCCTGTGATTGGTGGAGGACCGAGCAGATTGGCAGTAAAATGTTCACATCAGATGCTCTTTTATGACGTTTTAATGAACTAGTTTAAAATATTGATCCATCTAATCATTTTAGCTATTCTTTCTATAAGCTCCTTCCATATCTGGGGTAGTTGCTCTGAGTCCCCTCTTAACAAAAAGGCTCCGTTAAGCTAGTTTTAATCTTTCAAGAAACTTCCCCAGGGTGTTTTGCAGTTTTGTTTACCTTAGTTTCTTTTATTATTTTATTAAATTTTTATGCTGCCCATCTCCCCCAATGGGTGACTCTGGGCAGCTCACAATAAAACCAAAGACCCAAGAACCATTAAAAAATGATACCATATAAATAGTTAAAATTAATTA